TCAGTTGGTGAATCCTGGTCACTTCTCCCTTTTGTGGCGGGAACCGGCAAGGCGGGGCGGTTCACCGCCCACGAGGTTTGGACAATCCGAGTTCAACCACCGGAGGTCTGATTCGGGGGCACCCGGAGGTCGGATTCGACTTCACCTTTTGTAAAAGGTCTGATTTCTTCAGAAGTTTGAGTTCAACTCTTCGGGTTTCTTCACAAGAGTGGATGAGGTCATGAAGATCGATTCGTTCGGAGGGTCCGTTGGCTGCGCGGGTTTGAAGATCCTCTGAGCTGGGACCAAGGTCAACGCCACCTCTGGAGTTCCCAGTAGTAACAAGTGCCACGCTACTAGAAACAGGTGCCTTACTAGTAGTAACAAGAAGCTATTAATTCAAATGACTAATAGCAAACATTGTTACTACTAGTAAGGCACCTGTTTCTAGTAGCGTGGCACTTGTTACTACTGGGAACTCCAGAGGTGGCGTTGATCTTGGAGTTCCCATCGCATTGACCACTGAATGCGATCTTTTCCACTCTGCGCTTGGTCTGAAGAAACTGGTGGGCTTTCTCACCCAGTTGGCATGGCTCGGCAGCGGCTCTCAGTGCGGGCGGACCAAAGCCGTGTGCGTCCCGGAGGCCTCAGGCAACTGAAGAGAACAGTAGCAATGGCCAACAACCTAAGAGCGATGGCCTCCAACCTAGATTGAATAAGAAAGAGTAGTGTGAGAGATACGTCTATCTGGTTCAAATCACAGGACTTCCCATCCAGTCTTGGGGTCAAACTCTTCAGATGCCCATCAATCGGATAAGAACTCATGAAGGTTCTCTCAGATCTCAAAAGGAACTAGCAACTGGCTCTTTCCAGTGCCAAACTGGACATTCAGAGCCTGACTGGTCCTTCGTTTTGGGCTGCCATTTGGTTCGTCCGGAGTCCCATCCGTCTCCGTCTCGCCTCACTCCTCCAACAATCGCTCCAACTCCCTGGCGACGCCGTGCACATGGGCGCCGACCAAAAGGTGAAGGATCCAGCTCTGACTGGGGAGGTGGATGCTGTTGGATACAGCAAGCAAAGTAATTGAACGAAAGGAAGGCGTATTCCACCAACACATGGAGACGAGGGAGAGCCTTGGTGATGGACAAAACCCTTGTGGCAAATGGGTTCTGAGTGCCTTTTCCCGTTGGTCTGGGAATTTGATTTGCCATGTCTACATGGGAAAACGAAGGCCAATACATTCTTGCAACCCCGTGTCTTTTGGGCAGTGCTCAACAATGCTTAGGTCGTTCCCCGCAAAAACATCCAGAGGTGCATTCAAACCTGCATGTTGAAACCAGTCCAAGTTTATCGAACTCGCTCTTTAACCCATTCGGCAGCGTACTTGTATTTGTCAATCTTTTCGAAGTCCGGTAATCACAAACCCATTCAAAAGTGTTTGAAGCCGTCGGTTATACAATCACATATGTTTACTCAGTACTTCACTCAGTCAATCTCCAGCAGAGTTCGACTGGGGTGTTTGACCCTTTTCGGGTCATCCACCCGCCATGCGCCACGCCTGGCCACGGCGTCCTCATCGTTGCTCCACTCGCTGACGCGGTTGGCCGCCTGGACAAACGCGAGACAGAGCCGTGTGTAGAGTGAGCTGTTAGGAGCGATCGGACGCTACGAACGTAGCTCCTGGCCTGACCTACTAGTAATAAGGGCATCGCTACTAGTAACAAGAAACCTATTAGGTTAGAGGCCATCTGGGGTCCAGAAGTATCTAAAAGCACTCACGGGTGGCGGCGACCCTGTGGGCGCCTCTTTAGGCAAAAGGCGACCGTGGGGGAATGGGGAAGTTCTGAACTTGAGCCCCAGAATCAAAGAACAAAACTCAGGCGGCGATTTGGTCTCCTGTTTGGCAAACTAAGGGGAGCACGAGCACGGCAGCGTATGTCTATTCATGCCGTCATCATGGACTATGGGTTTGTCCGTGCGAATTGAACAGGGTTTGGTGGACAGTTTCAGAGCTTGAGAACCAGAACAGAACCTTCAATCATTAATTTCGTGGTCCCCAAATAGATGACCCTGGCATGGTTTTTAACACCTTTTTTAGTGGGAACTTTGTTCTTGTCTATCTATTTGGGTCTGAAAACAAGAAACCTCTCAACAAAAACACCCCCAAGAGACTTGACACCCTCCAAGTCAGGGCGCGCCCTGGTGCGGTTCGTGCCTCCTTGAGCTCGTCCTTGGCGTTCTTCATCGCCACGCCTTCGCCGGCCAAGGTCAACCTGAAGCGAGGCCCAAAGGCGCCCGGCCCGGCGTCGGCAGCGGCTCTTCGCCGCGGGGGCGTACGTAGCGCTACACCCCCTGTGAACAGGGAGACATGTCCAGTCAAACTGCGGTTGGGCAGTTTGGACAGGGGCGGACAGCCACTAGGATTTTGCTGCAAGATCTGTTTGTAGTGACAGTAGGTAACCACTTCGAGCAGACGTAGACAACATGTCAGCGGGCCATTTTCCCTACACATCCTGCTATTTAGCAGGAACACTTTGCCATATCTTGTACATCTGCAATCTCCCGCAGCTTTCCCAACATGGCTTGCTACTAGTAATAAGAGCATTACTACTAGTAGCAAGCTTCACATGGATTCTGTTTCTTCAGACCCCGAGGAACATCTCCATGTCGTTGTAGTTGTCCCCGAAGGCTATGACCTCGTCCTTAGGATGACAGAACTCTGAGAGACGCGCCGCAGCGCAGCTGGCAGAATCACAGGACGTCACAACGCTAGGAAAGGAAAAAAGGAAACACAAAGCCCTTGTTACTAGTTGCTTCTTGTTCCTAGTAGCGATGGCCTCCAACCTAGTAACTGCTTGAAGGATGTTGAAGGAGACTTAGGAAGTCTCGGACGCTCGGTTTGCTCTGCGTTGGATGATCCTCGATGTTGCTTCACCCCAGCGAGGGCCAGGAGCTGGCGCAGAGCTCTGAGGTGGACGTGACGACGTGACGACGTCCCGCCGGGAGAACGCGATGACCCTGAAGTCTCCGAATCAGTTTGGAACACATGAACCAAGGGGCACTCTCTGGAGTGTACATCCTTCACGGTATGCACCATGCACCAAGGAACTTATTTGTCAAGACGTTGGACCTGAGAAACACAAGGACACCACATATTAACGGCACAAGGCTTAGACTTTCGGCCAAATGATCGAGGCCGCTGAGTCTCTTTTTGGACGGTAGGCCGTTGTGCAGATGGCCGAGCGCGTGGTCTTGAGGAACGATTCAAACATTGCAACAGGTAAGATGGAACAGTTAAGTCACAAGAGGATTAACACATATCCGAGCGGAGCGATTGCCTAAGACATGTTCGGAGCATGATATGAATGACACATATGAATGCTTATGATCGGATCTACATGAATGAACACCGGCCAGAAGAGCTCTTTTGAAGGTCCTCCAGTTCCCGATCCTTCGTTCCTCTCGACAGTTTGCCCGAGACGCCATGCGGATGCCGAGGTGATCATTGCACAGCCGCAGCAAGGTGTCGCCTGGAGCTCGGTCCGGCAGCGATGAGCCCATCCGGTGAGCACGGGACATCATTTTAGGATTCCGACGCATGCTTAAATTTGGGTCCTCTTGATCACAAGGAGTTCAATATCTGAATGTAAAACAGAACATGGTCATTTGTACTATAGGGAGACGCAGGGAGATGCCCTACAAATCCATCCGCTTCTGTTTGCAGGAAGCCTCCCAAGCAGTCAATTACAACGCACCCTAAACCTGAAATCCCTTTGCCTCGGTACATGACAAGTGACCATTTCCCCAGACTTGCGAAGCAAACACCCTCACACACGCCAACCGGCAAACGAAAAGCACTTCCCAAACGCGGTCCGACCTTTGTTCACATCGGCAGGCAGGAACCTGAGCACGAGGGGGGCCGGTTGTCCACGGTGCTTGGAGGGTGTCAGTGGAGCCAAGATGATAAGAGTCCAGGTTCATCTCAAAAAAAGGGACGCCCCCAACCAATATGTGGATTCTCTACTTGATGGCATCATGATGCTCCTGTGCTAAGGCAAGCACACACGCTTGCAAAAAGATGGCAAATTGCAAGTCATCATGATGTGTAGGAAGTGGGTGTGCATGGCATGCAAAGTGGTAAATGCATCATGTGCCATGATGGTCAACCACAAAAACTCTAGGTTCCTTATACCCTCCTAAAAGTTTGAGGCTGTTTGAGCTGGGATGACTTTCCATCCATCCTGGTCCATCCTCCCAAAAAAACTCGGCCCAAGTCGGATAGTCTATATTTTTTGCTCCCAAAAGCAAAGAGCCTCACCCATCTCCTTCGATGGAGACCACCGACGAGACCACCATCGGTCACCTTCTCAAAGTTCTGGGAGTTCCAAGACCAAACGTCCACCAAACCAGGCCGATTTGGTTGGTTTCTTTGGGGCCGAAGTACCTTAAGTTGGTGGTTTGGACCAATGAACTGTTACTTGAGAGGCGGGAACGAAAGCGATGACAACGACGAATGTGAGAACACCTTAAAAATCCCCTGGGCATGATGTTTGTGATGTCGTGTCCCTTTGGGGGGGGGCCGTTTGTAGTGATTTTTCAATTGATCCCTTCGATCTTGACCCATCTATTCGTAAACTGAAACTTCAGCTGACCTCCTTCGGAGATCGCTTTCGTGAAAGTCAAAGGCCTTTAACTGCTTCAAACTTTTGCTCCATTTACATGAATCTGATTTCAAGGAGTATGTTTCTTGGTCGTATCATGTGGCAAATCCCCCATTTGGTTATTCTTGATAGGCATTGCTCGAACAAATGTTTCGCAGAAGTGCCTTTGTTTAGGACTTGGTCCATCATTTTCGCAGAACACCGTTTGTTTTACTTGGAGGAAAGGGTGGTCACTTGACTACTGCCACAGAAACCCCTGGGCTGTGGAAATACCCCAACCCCTGTATGTGGCGGAATTGTCCCATAACCACGGGAATGGCCCAAAAACAATTGAACTGCAGCAATCACGGGCCTTTTTCCTCAATCCTTCTTGTCTCTTGTGGACTTCCTGCCAGTGCAGCACCACCATATCATCAGTAGCACTAGCAGCACTGCAGGGGCCCAGCCATAGACAATCACCTGCAGGACCAGCCCCACTCGTTGCATGGACGCGCTGTCATTCACGTGTGGGAAGGCCATGCTGGGCACCGGAACTCCCAAGAACTGGCATAGCGGTTCCCAGCCATCCTGCACACTAAACTCAAGCAGTTTCTCCTTGGCTCTGGAGTCCAAACATGGGGGCCAACAGTAAGGATTCAGAGCATGGGGAAATACCGGCTCTAAATATCCAAAGCATGGGATCCAAAAATCGTTGCAGAACCACAGGGTATGGGACTTGTTTTGGGCCTGATGCCTTCACCCAAAAAGCGCGATGCTTATCGAAGGAGCACGCGAAATGCGAAGCGCAAACCGCCTAAGCCGTAGCCGAGTCTCCTTAGGCACTTTGGCCCGCACGTACGCATTGTGCTTCTCATATTGCTCTTCCAGCCATCCAGGCATCGCTTGCTGCTTCTCGATGCTTTCGTAAATGAGCTCGCAGGGGCGCAAACCCATGGTTTCTTGGCCCATGAGGCATCGCATGGCCGTTAAATCCCGCAGCACCGGGACGAACTGGAGGATGTTTGGATATGTCCTCAGCTCCAAGAAAGGCACGATACTATGCATGGGTGGCCTAAGACGACATGTGCCTCTTCGAATGAAGGGTCTATGTCTGCCAGTTTCAACCAGCTTTAGTGAACCTTTGGGGCCGGCCCAACGGCAGTTCTTCAACGGCAGTTCTTCAATGGCAGAACGTTCCGTTATGGCTGCTTCAGCCTGCACTCCCCATCCCATAGCGTAGTATATCGTAGAAAAAACACATCAGGTGAAGTCTCAGTGAAAAGTTGGCCACCTGCAGTCGCACCACCTGCATCAACTGTATGAAGCTCTTGGCCCAGCCCTTGGCACCTCGCGGATGAGTGGTGAGGATCACCTTGGCTTCAGGGAACAGCCGCAGTTGCAACCTCAGCCGTCGGTCGGACCTCTCCTTGGAGCCCTTGGAGGTGGTCGTTGGGATGAAGGTGACACGTAGTAGGTCTGTCCTATGACTTGATGATTTTTGGGAGTCTGGCCTATGTCTAGTGATCATTTGTGGGGTTTGGTGGATTTCATGGATTTCGCTCCTTGAGGGATCTACTACTCAGTAGGTTTGGCGATCTGGCTTTCCTTTCAAACCAAGCGAACTAGTCTTTCCTTTCGCACCCAGGCACTCCACAAGCTCACACATGGGGTTGTCCATGGTGGCATCAAAGCCGTCGTGATGAATCATCTCAATGACCTCTGCTGCCTCCATGTGATGTTCTGCCACGGCACGCCAGGCGGAGGCATGAGAGCGATTCAGCATCACACTCTTCAGATGGTAAGGCTTGTAACCTTGGATGAGCTGGTCAGCTATACGTGAGGTTGTGAACATTGGAGGCACATATCACATAACGTATCTTTTCTGGAGGGGCACATATCACATGCACCTATGCCATCTTCAAAGCAGGATGCATCTGATTTCGCTTGAACTAGAACAAATGGATCCAACCTTGAACATCTTGCCTGAAAACAGAGACCGGTCACCCAGTCTTTGCAAGGCCGTCAGCATGCTCATGGTACCCGTCCGCCCGAGCCCTGCCACGATCACGCGGAGACCAAGCGCCTGAGGAAACAGGTTGGAGGCCATCGCTATTAGGTCCTTAAGGACGCTACGTTCGGGGGCTCCTGGCCTTACTACTAGGAGCAAGGATGCGATTTCTTTTACACATCAACCACTTCCACACGGAGACCGTCTGTGCCTGAGGAAACCAGACCATCACAGCAGCCCACTGCAGCGGCGCCATGTCGCTGCTCCCAAGGAGCGGTGCGAACGCGAACGCGAACGCGAAGGCGCGAACGAGCCAGCGAATCCTGGGAAGGCGAAGGAAAACACGGAGCGTCCTTGCTCCTAGTAGTACGGCCAGGAGCCCCCGTTCCTACTTTGAAAGTAGTGATTGAAATGGACATTGTTTTGCAAGTGCTAATCAATGGGATCACGAATCATCATCTCTACTTGAGTCTCAGCGAAGAACTTCCTTGCTCCCGCCCAACTCTCCGCTGCGCCCGAGCCGCTCGATGTGCATCTCGGCGGCCACGACGTGCGCCGCGCCGGGCGGCAGCATCGCGCGGGCCTGGAGCTGCTTGACGCACCCGGCTCGGTTGGTGCGGAAGGGGAATCCGCCGGCCTGCTGGTGGATGTTCTTGTAATTATACTTGTATTCTTATGTGCTCAGGGCAGCGGCCCTCCACTGACCCCAGTCAGTGCGCCCAAAAACCGTCTGGTCTCTTCGTTCAAAAGCCTCATCGTCACATCGTCTTCTAGTAGCGTCTTTGCTCCTAGTAGTAAGGCCAGGAGCCCCTAGTAGCATCCTTGCTCCTAGTAGCGATGGCAGGAGCCCCTAGCAGCGTTCTTGCTCCTAGACCTCTGTGACCTTCCGTGACCCGGCCTTGGCCGCTTGGGTGAAGGGCTCCTCCGCCAGGGCCACGATCTTCAAGGGCGGCTCGTACTCCTCGGGCGCAGCGAGTCCCACAAACTAGACGACGGTTGGCCCGAGAGCGAGACATGTAATTGTCCAGCACTGTCGAAAAGATGTATAGAAAGAGAGAAAGAGAGGGTGGATGTGAAGGAGTGACAGTGTGGATGTGCAGGTGCGATATAGATCTGTAGGTGTATGGAGTTGGAGATCTGTGGATGTGAGCGTGCGAAGATGTAAATGCACAGAGACGAGAGAAAAGATATCTAGAAAGAAAGAAAGACAGAAAGAAAGAAAGAAAGGCAGGACAGATGTGAAGGAGCGACAGTGTGGATGTACAGATGTGATATAGATGTGCAGATGTGTGGGTGTGGTGAGGTGGAGAGGTAGTTCTGCGGATGTGAGCGTGTGAAGATGTACATGTAGAGAGGTGAGGGGGTGTAGACGTAGATGCGTCGATGCAACGGCAGCGCAACTTCAACCTTAGTTGTGCAAGTACAACGCTGAACAGGTTCAAATAGTAGAACTGAAGAACGTACATTTCACACGGAAGTTTCCACGAGCAGGGCGACCTGAGAGTAAACGACGTCACGATCATGGCAAGCGACTTGTGTATTCCAAGCGAACATCGTTTGTCATGAAGGTGAAGTACACACATACTAACGTCACGATGACTCTTTTGTAGCAGCCACTTATGAGTAAGCAAAGTAGCTAAAATTTGTCAACCTCTCAAGAGAGCCGGGTGGTCGGGAGACCTGACTCAGCCGCGAGAGATGACTCATCCGCGCACTAAAGTTGTACTACAAAGTCACCAATTCTCAGCTTCCAACTCCCCAGATACTCCGCGTACTAAAGTTGTACTACAAAGTCGCCAGTTCTCATCTTCCAGCTCCCCAGATACTCCGCGTACTAAAGTTGTACTACAAAGTCGCCAGTTTTCAGCTTCCAGCTCCACAGACTGCTCCGCGTACTCAAGTTGTACTACAAAGTCGCCAGTTCTCAGCTTCCAGCTCCACAGATTGCTCCGCACACTAAAGTTGTACTACAAAGTCGCCAGTTCTCATCTTGCAGCTCCCCAGATACTCCGCGTACTAAAGTTGTACTACAAAGTCGCCAGTTCTCAGCTTCCAGCTCCCCAGATACTCCGCGTACTCAAGTTGTACTACAAAGTTGCCAGTTCTCAGCTTCCAGCTCCACAGATTGCTCCGCGTACTAAAGTTGTACTACAAAGTCGCCAGTTCTCATCTTCCAGCTCCCCAGATACTCCGCGTACTAAAGTTGTAATACAAAGTCGCCAGTTCTCATCTTCCAGCTCCCCAGATACTCCCGCGTACTCAAGTTGCACTACAAAGTCGCCAGTTCTCAGCTTCCAGCTCCACAGATTGCTCCGCGTACTAAAGTTGTACTACAAAGTCGCCAGTTCTCAGCTTCCAGCTCCACAGATTGCTCCGCATACTAAAGTTGTACTACCAAGTCCCCAGTTCTCATCTTCCAGCTCCCCAGATACTCTGCGTACTAAAGGTTTACTACAAAGTTGCCAGTTCTCATGTTCCAGCTCCCCAGCTACTCCGCGTACTACAGTTGTACTAGCACTCTCGCCCGCACTCGACACGCACGATCTCCGCAGAGGGTTGCGCCGGACAAAGCCAAG